ACATAAAGTATTATATTGTGAAAGATAAAGTCCGGAATCATGTCAGAAGTCTTGAGCATATAAGTACCGAAAAGATGCTCGCGGATCCGCTTACAAAAGGCTTACCACCCAACGTGTTCAGAGAACATGTAGCCGACATGGGTTTAAGGGAAAGCCTATAATTCCTGGATAAAAGAAGGCCCAAAGTTAAGTATCTATTTCAGAACAGAGTGGTGTGTTATAGCTGTTAAATCTATAGGCAATTGACCGTGACGATGAAACATGCTCTATGCGCTAATCTGTAATGGAATGAACAAAAGTAAATGATATGAAATTGAAAGATGGTAGGAGATCAAGGGGGAGATTGTTTGATTGATCTCTAATCCCAAACTGGGCCCAACGGCCCAGTTGGGCCTTTGATCAGCGCCCTGATCGGAGGCGCCTAGTCCACTATGGCTGGAGGGCCCCTGTCAGCCAGTGACGGGGAGCCACCAGCCGCACCGCCACCGAACTGCGTCACCGCCACCACTGCACTGCGCCGCCACCGGTCTTCACCGCCGGTCGCCACCGCCCACCACCGACACCTTCTTCATCGACCGTCGCTGTCCTCGCGCAGACACCGACACAACCCCCATGGCAGATGCCTCTGGATCAAAGGCCTACGATGGTCGGTAACTTAGCACTATTTCTCCCTCTATTCTCTGTCTAGTTCATGTACTATGACATGCTATTCAAGATGTGCCCGGCTAGATCTATGATTATGTGATAATAGTAAATTATAACAGTACAAGCTAACAAAGCTTAGAAATAATAAAATGCTCAGCATATCTGCAGTAGTCTTCATGTTCCATGTGCCCATAAGATCAAAGGCCGCAGATGGGATGAAGATGAACTTGTTCCTTCAATCTGCATTGTCCATTGTGTATTCAATGAAAATGTGTGCCCCTTTTTTGTGTTTTTTTCCCAATTATTCATCGTGCCTGTTATTCATAAGTATATTTCCCTACACCTGATCGTGTCTTCTGGTAACACCTTTTCTCCTAATTTCCTACACAATTCTAAGGTTTAGTCTACCTGACTACAGGAGGTCCACGCCAGATACTCGATGCTTCGAAAATGTAATTCATGGTTTGCCTATAACAGCTGGTCATGGTGACTATTCTTCTCCTCGTATCCCTTACAGTGCGCAATGTATTAATCAAATAATAATTGCGTTGTACTATACATTTCTGAAATATAGCAATATATAGAAACGATTGTGGGTATTATATGCTATATCAAAGTTCAGCAGGCCACCATCAAAGTTCAGCAGGCCACCATGTGGGCAAGGCTACATGGTGTTTCTGTGACACCTTAGCCAAGAATAATACCTTTTTGCATTTCGTCATTTGCTGCTGCCTGGAATATGGCAGTAATAAACAATATGCAAAGAAAACAATCGAATGAAAAAGAAATATCTATGCTTACAACGTCTGATCTAGGCAACAAATTAATGCCTTCCAAATTAGCCAGAAAAAGTACTTGATAACCCATTAATTTTGCCCACGACTTACACTCCAATGCGTTGGACAGATGGCCTTTTCAAGTGCATATCTAGAACTCTCTGTCATGGTATCAGGAGACTTTGAACGAGCACACATCTATTGTAGAGTCATAAATATGTAAATTTTGGAATTCTTCTCGAATGTTTCTGAAATGGTGAAAATAGGAGGCACACTATATTATATGGTGGTGCTTCTGGAACGGTGAAAATAGGAGGCATGCTATATTATATGGTGGCATTGAATAGACATGCATGAATAATCATTAAGTCATTTAAGGTCGATACATTTCAAGTTGGGTACCCGAGATACCAAACTATAGTCATACAGTAGAGGTCTAATTTTATCGAAACTTTGACTATATATATATATAAAAAATTAATATCATTAGATGGATTGTTGAATCTATTTTCATAATAAATTTATCTGGAGATACAAATGTTGCATATATTTTCTATAATTCTATAAATCCAGTTAAACTTACACCGGAAATAAAAAAATAATAGTTATTTAGGGACTGAGGAGTAACTCTTTTTAGCTAGCAGCCATGTTCCTAGCAGTACTACAAATTGCTCTTATCACCTACATGGCTGTGACCACTTTATCACCTCGTGGAACTCAGCTATCATATCACTGCTTTGACAATACATGTCTGTTCATCCTAAAAATAGTAGGGCAAAAAAATGAAGAACATGATGGGAGATCAGGAGTAAGCGTTCCTACCGAAACATTTATCAAGTGAGAGAATGGTAAAAAAGAAATTAAATAATATGAGCAGCCCGATGAATGGGTGGAGCAAACCCGCGTCCTGGAGAACCCTCTTCATGGTCTTCACAAGGAAGACTCCGGTGCTGATGCAGAATCATGTCACGATGAAGTAGTCCAAGGAGCCCCAGAAGATGCAGTCCGGCATCGCAAAACCTCTGATGAGGATGACTTGCAGAAACCAGCCAAGTATCCCTTGAGAACTGTTGGGTCAGCACCTCTGGGGTAAACCTGCATCACCAAACAACGAGCCTTAAGGTGGACCACCAATTACGTTACGTAAGATGCAGTGATTCATGAAAGATGCAGGGGGTAAAATCTCTGCAAAGCATGATGAAATAGCAGGAATATTTCAGTAAATCAGTATTGAAATTCTCCATCCTCAAACAAGATATATCCACTAAAACATCAAAAAAAACATTAGACAACATTAGATTTCGGTAATAATAATAATGACACTTACAACTTTTGAAATATTATACTTAGCACGAAGCGTTTGGCAACGTGAATAACGACACATACAGTTTGTGGAGTATTTATCAGAGAGCATGGGGGGAGAAGACGAGGTGAACATATACTGAACTGATTTGAGCTCCTCTTCACTTCGTGTCCTAGTTTCCTGAATATGTGATATGAAGATGTCAGAGCAGTTGTTGCTGAGGGATAGATTGATGAGCAGAGGGTTGTGTTGCTCGTAGCAGTCTGCTTAGATCACACACATTTGGCTACACATTTGAAGGACTAGCGCCCTGTTCGTTTGGGCTTGTTTGGCTTATAAGCCGTATCAGCCAACGAATAGTATTTTTCTCTCACATCAAATCAGCTAATAGTATTTTCAGCCATGGTTTATCAACCAAACAAGTCCAAATGAACAGGGCGTAGATTATGCCGTCAGTTGCATTGTTTTGGTTATTGTTATCGAAATTGTGAGCTGCTGTGCTCGTGGTCATATATTCAGGCATTGCATTTGGGAGTTATGCACAAGTTAATAGCCATCGATATATACAATAATAAAGGAGTAGAGATACATTCCTTTTCCCTGCCATATATTCTCTTTCGAATTGCGTTGATACGATGAGAATATATTCATGGTGAAATGGAGTGGTGAAAGAGTTCCAAAGGACATGCTTATTGGTGACCATGTTAACTATCCAATACAGTTAGTAATGCCTACTCTACTCTCAATGAGATCACTCCTGAACATGTGTTTATTTACAAAGGCATATTGAAGAATAAAGATACTAATGTCTACTCTGCTATTGATGAAATCACTCCTGAACATGTGTTTATTTAAAGAGACATCTTGAAGAGGTGTCTGTTCAAAGAGGCATCTGTTTCACAACACTTAGGTTGACACATTGGGGTAAATACCTGTAGAGACGGCAAACAACCCCATATCTGGCTCCTTGTCATTAGTAGGGCGGTTCCTTTGTCACTAGCTTCCTGTTGGATCTTTAACTTTGCGCATTGCAAAATAATTGAGTGCTCTTGCAGTGTTCCAAGCAAAATCTGCTAGACTTGGAGATCTCTGATTCAAATGGTTGACCTATGATGCTTTACACATTGTAAGAGGTTTATTTAGCTGCACACCAGTATACCCTAATCCATCTACATGTATCGGTAATGTGAAATCATTCGGAGTTGGATTTACACCCCAGTCCATCCACATGTATTTATACATGTGAAATCATTCGGAGTTGGATTTACAGCCAAAAAAGCCCTAACTAGAATTAGTTAGATTTGGATTTGAAATCATTCGAGATCGATGTCATAGCGATCCGCTGACCATCCACACCGCCATATTAACGTGCTACCACTCCGTGTGACATAGAGTGTGTTTGCCTATTTAGGACTACTTAAAACCGGAGCTGCGGCTCCCACACAGCCAGAATTAATAAAATCTCGCCAAACGATTTGTGAGAATCGATTATTATTTTCGTGTCGGAATACAACAACCGCGAGATTAAATTAGCGCTCACGATTCTCTATGCCGCACGATAGTGGAGGCCACGGTTGTTATACCCTATCGCGCGATGGCCAGGCCGCGATCCCAAACACGGCAATGGAGCATCGCCGCCGAGCTAGACGATGGCGCAGTACGTCACGCCATTGCGTTGGGCAGCCTAGATACCTCTAGTCTTGCTGACAGCTGGGCCACGAGAAAAAAAAAGAGAAAAGTTAAACTGCAGTGGCCCAGTTCACTACTGATCACTGGCCCTGGCCTTCGGCGATCCCATCCCTTCCGCATCGTCCCCGGACGACGCAGGCGGACCGCGGACGCAATCACGCAAGGCACGGTGCCGACATCTCCCCGAGGCCCGAGGGCCCAGCCATGAAGGCCCTGGGCGCGCACGGCGCCGACGTGCTCCGCGGCCCGCACCTCCTCCGCGCCGCCGTCCTCGCTTTCGCCGTTGCGCTCGCCTTCCTCGTTGGCTACCACTGGCCCAACGCCTCCCCGCGCCTTGTCTTCTTCTCGTCCGCCTCCTCCTCGTCGGCGCCCAGGTCCTCCTCCCGCTCTCCTGCCGTCGCGCTCTCCCCCAACTCCAACATCTCCTTCGACCCGTCCCTGATCCCGACCCTCGCCACCCCGCCTGCTTCTCCTGCTCCCAATGCCTGGCCCCCGCCCTCACTACCACCGCCGACTCGGCGCCGCCGCCTCCCCTCCTCCCCCCTCCACCACCAGCGCGCCTCGGCATCGTGGGCGAGGACGGCGCTATGCAGGACGACTTCGATATCGGCAGCGTCGGCGCCAACGACACCGATCTGGTCACCGACGAGACCGGGCCGCAGGAGCCTAGCAACGGGGGAGCCAGCGGCGGACCACCCAGGGTGCGGATTGGGAGGTTCCCGGTCTGCCCCGAGAGCATGAGGGAGTACATACCCTGCCTCGACAACGAGGAGGAGATCAAACGGCTGCCCTCGACGGAGCGTGGGGAGCGGTTTGAGCGGCACTGCCCTGCCAAGGACAAGGGTCTCAGCTGCCTCGTCCCGGCGCCCAACGGGTACAAGGCGCCCATCCCCTGGCCTCGGAGCAGAGATGAGGTGAGCATGTATTGGTGTTGGCCTTTGCCATTTCAGTAGCAACCCGAATGTACTGGCAATTCGCTGTATACATGTTACTAAGATAGGGTACTAATATGGTAAGGCTAACCTTCATCCACAATCTATGCGGAAGTTGATGATAAACCTTGTTTTTAGTTGCCATGTTTCGACTTAAGCTGTACTTTTGTGTTCTAGTTACTATGCCAGGCATTGAATGCTAATCTTGTAAATGCTAGTTGAAACGAACACATGATTTACGCTGACATTTGATGAACACATAAGTATTCAACTGTTCTATTTGACCTACCTGACTTGGGGCTGATTTTGCAGAAACCAAAAATTTGAAGTTAAATGACTTTATAATATGTTATTTGATTGGATGCAGGTCTGGTTTAGCAATGTGCCTCACACAAGATTGGTTGATGACAAAGGAGGACAGAATTGGATCACCAAGGTCAAAGATAAGTTCAGATTTCCTGGAGGCGGAACTCAATTCATTCATGGAGCAAATCAATACCTAGACCAGATTTCCCAGGTTTGATGTCAAATATTCTTCAAACTGCTTGAAATTTAATCCCGACTGACTAGAGCAACCTGTTCCCTCTGTTCATCCAGATGGTACCAAATGTTGCATTTGGATCTCATACTAGAGTTGTCCTGGATGTTGGCTGTGGAGTAGCAAGTTTTGGTGCATATTTACTTTCACGTGATGTCCTAACATTGTCCATAGCTCCAAAAGATGTTCATGAAAATCAGATACAGTTTGCTCTTGAACGTGGTGTGCCTGCAATGGTAGCAGCATTTGCAACGCGCCGATTATTATATCCAAGCCAAGCATTTGACATAATCCATTGCTCACGCTGCCGAATAAATTGGACTCGTGACGGTGAGCTGTGATTGCTATATAATATATTTTTTAATTAACATTGCACTCTTTGTTTGTTGCCATGCTGTATCTTCGCAGTTAGGCTGAATGCTCACTTATCTCTTTTCCAAATTTTCCTAGTCTTTCTGCCTAGGTCTTCAGGGATGATATTTTGTTCAAATCTCAAAGAATATTTGTCATTGTTAGATGTTGAATTTATTTCGTGATTCTCAAAGCATAAAATATCTTTTCATTTAAACTTGACTGCAAAGATGATGTGCCACTTATCTATGTACGTTCCAAGTTTGCCTAATTTTGTTATCGTATTTGTTTATTTGAAGATGGTATCCTGCTCCTGGAGGTTAATAGATTGCTTAGAGCTGGAGGCTACTTTGCTTGGGCAGCTCAACCTGTTTATAAGCATGAAGAGGCCCAACAAGAGGCATGGAAAGGTATTTTCTACTTACTGTGTTGTACCTTTTCTTTTGTTAGGGTGATAACATACAACTCATGTATGAGTTTGGTACCTCTTCTTTAATGCTCAAGATTTGTCATAATCAAATTCATTCTTTTAGTGCCTACTATCCTGAGTACAGCATACTTATAGCTGGCAAATTGTATAGTTTGTGTTTGTTGATGCGAAATGTCCAGTGTTCCTGTATACATTAAAACTCCTTGCCTTATTAGTTCAACTTCATGTATTTTGACTTGAATTTGTCCTTCTCATCACATGCTAAGTGTCCTCACATAAGTTAATTTGCATGATAGGTATTACCATTTTAGGCATTATTGGGACTATCCACTGACCAGTTAATGGCATCTGAACTTTGAGAATGGTTTCGTAATAATATATCCATGCAGAACTATATATCTATATAAGATGAAAAAGCTACCTATCAAATTGCTATTATAACTGAGGAGTGAGGACTCCTTTAATGCTAAGGGTTTAGAGAAGTTGTTCTTGATTCTATTTAAAATTAAAATTTGAAAACACTTTATAGAATATATTCAGTGATAAGTATTTCTCTTGTCTAGATTTTTTGCATCATCAGTTTGATATGCTTACACTTGATGACTTGTTTTTTCTTTTGTTTGTCCGGAAACTATTGCTTATATATACAAAATCATGTGTAGAGATGGAAGACCTCACTACCCGACTTTGTTGGGAGCTTGTGAAGAAAGAGGGATATATTGCTATGTGGAGGAAACCCTTAAATAACTCTTGCTACATGAACCGTGGTCCTGCAGTCAAACCTCCACTTTGTGATGCTGATGATAACCCAGATGATGTCTGGTATTTGTCTAACTCATTTAGCCTGTTGCTATAATTGTTAATACATATCAATTTAGCATCCTCTTCTGTAAGCTGGGTCCAGCCTTTCTTACTGCTGCTGAGTTCTATTTTGATGAGATTATGTATTCTTTATATCGGATCTCATTGCGCCGTAAGTTTATATGGATTTATCTGATCAGCTTTTCATTTGTCACATTGGCAGTCATCCCTGTACATATCTTTGCTGCAAACCCCCCAATTTAATTATTCTTTACGTTCTATTTTATCTCAGGTATGTTAGTCTGAAAGCATGTATTAGTCGGCTTCCAGAGAATGCTGAAGCACCAACTCCTCTTCAATGGCCTGCACGCTTAATGGAGCCACCAAAGAGGCTTCAAGGTGTTGAAATGGATGCCTACTCATCAAAGAATGAGCTTTTCAAAGCAGAAACAAAATTTTGGGAGGACATAATTGACGGTTATATCCGTGTCTTCAAGTGGAGGAAGTTCAAACTCCGAAATATAATGGACATGAGAGCTGGATTTGGAGGGTACTTTTCTCAAACCTCTTCCTTTCATTTGCTTCCTTGGATGTCTGATCACAAATATAAGTTCATTAGAACTTCTACATGGTCTCCAACATGACACTTTGACTAGCAAGATCTGTGAATATATTATCTGAAACAAAGAGTTATGTATTAAGCCCTTGTGCTTTCAACCTGTGTGAAATTTAAGATATTGATGGTCAAATCTAAAAATGTGACTTAAGACAAACCTAAGTGGACTTATATCAGAGGAAGTATTTTATTTTCATTAATGAGATCTGCACTGTTGTGGAGTAATTAAATAATCCCCCAACCCAACACACATACAATCACTGGCACTTTGGATGAATGGCTGGAGTCTGCAACTAAAACAAAGATTAGCCGAACAAGGACATCTCTGGATGGGAAGAGTAAGGTTTTCTTAGGGAACTGTTTGAGGATGTTGTGCTATATTTAGTACAAATAAATGTGTTCTCAAGTTACTTCTATCACCCACTTAGTTTAAAATGAATCTCTTCGCATCTAATTGTTCAATATTTTTAACTGTGACAGTTGTAGTGAAATCCTATCCATTCTGGGAAATCTATTCTTGTTTCTATTTTGCTTGTTGGTGGCTAGCTACCCTTTGCAGATAAAAAAATCTAGAAAACGGAATCTTCTGTGCTTATGTATGGAGATGAGGCGATCTTGTTTATTTTTCTCACTCTTGTTTTTACTTCCCACTTTGTATGTAGGTTTGCAGCTGCATTGATCAGCCGGAAACTTGATTGGTGGGTGATGAATGTTGTTCCTGTTAGTGAGCCAAATACATTACCTGTAATTTTTGATCGGGGGCTTCTTGGAGTAGCTCATGACTGGTACACCTTTGTACATTCTTGGTTCTTTAAATATTATTTCTATTTTTCTAGATTCAAAATGGTTTACTTTAAATTTTATATACTGCAATCAATACTGTTCTGGATAGAGAACAGTGATCGTTCACACTATTTCCTGATTGCCTCTTGTATTCCTGGACCGCTATGAATTCTTCTTTATCAGAATTCACAAGTCAGAATGAGTGGCCATAGATTAGTTTTAACCAGCGTGCCTGATTATAATGGTCAGCAAGCTTATTATTTGTTTTGATGTAATTGTATTAAACTTATAGCATCAAAATTTCTGCCCTGAATTGAATATTATGTTGCCTTTTCCATGGGTAGGTGTGAGCCCTTTGATACATACCCTAGGACGTATGATCTGCTGCATGCATCTGGTCTTTTCTCAAAGGAGCAGAAAAGGTATGCCCTTTAATCATTGGAAGCTTGGAATAAGTCCAGTTTAGCCCCTGGACTCTTGCCTTGTCTAATTGTCATCCTTAACTGTCATACTATTTAAATCTTACCTTAACTGTCAAAGCCGGTGCAATTTATACCATGAGCCCTCTCTAAGCGGCATTGCATTATGTTGCAGTGGTTTTTGGAGTCCACGATAGCACATGTGCCACATCAGCAGTGACGTGACACATTTGCGACCATTAATATTTAATACAGCAAGATGGAATTTTTGTCCTACAATCTCATACGAATCTTTTGATTTACATCCAATCAACACATTTAATTCTGAAAGTTGCTTGGGGTGGGGGGTGGGGGTGGGGTTACAAAGTTCACCACTTTTGCCAGCTGGGTATAAGATTTGAATGGTATTGTAGTTTGGGGTAGAAATTAGATAAACGCTAGAGTTGAGGGGCTAAAAAAAAGACATTCCTCAATTATTTCCTTATAGAAAGTGGCATTCTTTATATCTGTTCGGTTTGCTTTAACAACAGTAACGGAAGTGTAATTATTTCTCATAAGTCTTGCTAACTAAATCTGTGGAGATACCTCTGGATGTGAATAATTTTTAAACCTTTTGTGTGAGTCTACTGTTACCCAGATAACCGTTCAGGATGTAAATTCTAACTACACGCTTCAAATATTTCTAGGTGTAATATCTCTAGCATCTTGCTGGAGATGGACCGGATACTCAGACCAGGTGGTAAAGCATATATTCGTGACCGGAAAGAAGTTATACAGGAGATCAAAGAAATAACGAATGCCATGGGGTGGCGTGGTACTATACGTGACACTGCCGAAGGCGCATACGCCTAGTAGGAAGGTTTTGATGTGTGACAAGCCAATGGTGCGTTAGGCAATCAGGGCAAGGTCTGATGACACCTTTGGAATTTCGAATTGCCAAGCAGGGGTGATTTTCAGGCACTTTTTGGAACTGACAAGAGCTGCTGTCGAGACTGACATTTGTTCTGTAGATAGGGTAGGCCAAGGTCTAATTTGTAACGATTTGATTGATCATCCATTCCTACAATGATGATCAGTGTAATTCCTGAGATATGTCATTTTTTTGGTTGTATAATTGTCGTGGAAACCTTACAAAAGTGTAGGCGATTTTTTTTTTCAGAAGAATGGTCATTTTTTTACTCTCTGAGGTGACCCATGGAAATATGGAATCATTGGCTTTATTTTGCTTATTGGTCCCGTTCGGCTTACCCCATATTCAGAAGAAGTGTCATGATTTGGATTTGTATGCCTCAGATGATATGTTCTGATTCAGACTTGTCTGAGATATTCTGATTCAGATTTGACTCAGTATTGAATTGCCAGAGGAAGCAATGGGCATCTTTATATTAGAGAGAAAAAGACAGATCATAGAGGAGGCTATTTGAACACTGGATGTCTCTGTTATGTTATTGGTAAAGTACATTTTTACCTCCAAGTTACACTTCAGTTCGATGTTTAACCTTTAAACTATGAAACCTGGTGATGGATATTCTCCCGTCAAACAAGCACCTGTTCCGGTGTTTCCAGCAGGGGTGGAGCTATATTTACTGCAGTGGATACGACTGCACCCACATAAAAATAGAAAAACTGTAATAAGAACTAAATTCTCACTATATTTACACCTTTATTTCACCTATCCTTGCATCCAAAAGGTAACCGCACTCTTTGCATTTGCTCTAGCTCTGCTCGCTTATTTCAGATCGTCCATGCTAAGGATCACAGGAGAGTTGACTCCTTTGCACTCTGCTTTCTATTTAGGATCGGGCGATCCGTCGATAAGTCCAGGTAGAAGCCAACAAAAAAACGGTGTCAATTGCAGTTGCAGGTGCCAGTTCAGGCATATTCACCTGTACCAAGTTTAGAATTTTGTTGTTGCCATTCTACAGATTACCTATTTATTTCAATCAGTGCTAGTGAAAGGTTTCTTGCCTAATGGATAACTTGGGTGGAGTCCTTCAGCCTTCATCTCGTGTGTTATTGTGTAGTTGTCAGTGTTAATGATGAGGTCAGGCATTATTCTAAACTAAAAAAGAACTTCCGACAAGGAGATCCTCTATCTCCGCTACTTTTTAATATCGTGGCTTATATATTAGCAATGATAATAAAGAGAGCCAAGAAGGATGGGCAAATTAATGAGATAGTATCACATCTAGTTGACGACGGTTTATCTATCCTACAATATGCGGATGACACTATCTTTTTTATGGAACATGATTTGGCAAAAGCTCATAATATGAAGCTATTGCTCTGCGTTTGAGCAAGCATCAGGCCTTAAAATTAATTTCCAAAAAAGTGAGTTGCACTGCTTTGGAGATGTCCAAGATGCTTTAGACCAATACAACTTAATATAAATGATACAGCCTACAGGGTGAATTCGAGTGATCACAAAGCTCTCGTACCATGCATATTGCTACCATGTAAATGATACTCCCTCCATTTTAAATTATAAGTGCTAAAGTACAACTTGGGTCAACCTGAGTGGTCACAAAGCCTTCGTACCATGCATAGGGCTTGCTACCATAACCAAAAAAACTTATATATACTCCTTAATTTGCCCCTTATACTATTTATCATATATTTTTACTTCAAGCACAGAGAACTAAAATAGACCTCCTGCGGCAACACGCGGAGGGCCTGCTAGTTAAAAGGAAAGTATAGAGGCATGCAAACCTCAATCTCAGATTAACATGGACTCAACCTAGTGTCCAAGAACTAAAATTTTCAGGCCGCATGTTTCGTTTTCGTCAAGTGCAATAGTCTCAAACTCTCAATAGTCATTATGCTACAAATCCTTTTGACATATTCAGTCAAGCAGCAGCGTATTCCAACTAAATTAGTTTTTTCCCCCACTTTGAAATTGGGTAATCCTTCGCACTTCTTGTATCCAACGCGATCTCAGCACCACAGACTTACTTTATTTACTGTTCAACAACTCGGTTACAGTTACATCACACTGCAAGTTATTACTGTTGTAAACCCGCTTATATTCAAGAAAACTATTATACAAAACAGGATTTCACGAATCACCCACCTGCATCTCGGACCAGCATCTGCCTCTCCAGCTATACACTTTACAACAATTGTTGTGAGGCAACAAGTGCTCCTGTGGTTACCCTAAACTATATGGCATGTATGCTCCGCCATCAATATTCAGTACTTTCACTGGATAACCTGGCTCGTGTGTGGAAACTTGAGATCAGTGGCTCCCGGTTGACAGTGCATTTGCCTCAATCCAGTCAAAAGCAAGTGGACTAAGGAAGGCATCAGGGATTCCAAAAGAACTGACAACAGCAAGCGCATGGGGCCTGAGTTCACTGCACAGTTTCAAGACTTCTTTCCGCACAAGGGCTACATTGTCACGTGATAAATGCCCGTATCTTAGAAAAGATGTGGATTCATCTATGTTCACCATAACATATAGAGACCTCAGCAAACCCAGTACCTCCTGGAAATGATAACAAAAGGTTACAGAAGCATTACAATGAAATATTATGTGTAATTTCACACAGAAATGAAAAGATCAAAGGAAAGATTTTGTTATTCAACTGTAGTAGCTAGCAAATGATACAATTAAAAAAAAAGGGCGTACCCAGTGCAGAAAGCTCCCGCTCTGTGCGGGGTCTGGGGAAGGGTGTCAGTGGCAAGCCTTACCCTCGCCTGTGCAATGCGAGGAGACCGCGACTCGAACCCGGGACCTTCCGGTCACAGGCGGTAAGACTCTACCGCTTGCACCAGGCCCGCCCTTCTAGCAAATGATACAATTGAGGACGAAAAACAATTGCGTGAATATACCTTTAGGGAACCAGAAGGGACATTCATCTCGTCCTTCAAAAATATTTGGAGGATTGTACGCTCAGTAAACGCTCTAGCTAAGTCTTCAGCAAGTTGGTAACTCTGGGAAAATGTCACTTGTATCAATGACAGAAATTATAGAACAGTGGACAATAGTGCACAGTGAAATCTGATTTTTACCAGCATCAAAGCCTTTTCTCTGCTTTCGCCTTGTGCAAGCTGGAGAGAAACCCCCTCTGCAAACTGCTTCAGTAAATCTCTCTCCCTTAAGCAGAATAGGTCCATCTATTCATGTGAACAAATCGACACTCAAAGATTGAGTTTATGTCATGCCAGGGATATATTAGAAGTAACAAATTAAATTATGATTCTTTACCTGGAACTTGGAGCTCCTTAATAAGCTACTTGTCAGCTTATCAGGAATAACAGGGCTTGAGCCATTTAAGTGTTCTAAACCCAATCCCTTGAATGGCTTCTTCTTCTTTTGTGCACCCAAAAATTCAGCATAAAGTGCTTTGCTTACCTAAACAAGGTTAAATTGTTACAACCACACGAAGCACCTTTGATTAAAAACAGATGCATGACTGAAAACAACAATAACCTGCTGCATTAGAACATTATTATCACCCTCAAATGTGGACTGGACATCAAATTCAGCTTTGAAAATTCCTACGCGGTTCTCAGTCTTTAGACCTTGACCTCCACAGGCCTCACGACACTCCTAATACATTTAAAAGAAAGTCCAGTGAGAAATAGTGACTGGAATAAAGAAACATAATAATAGCTCTTTCAACACTCAATAATACCTGAAGCGTAATCATATTCTGCCAAGTTAGTGTCGCCTTCAGAGCACTAGAGTAAATGTGTATGGCTTTGCTCATTTCAGGAGTTCTCTTTACATACATATTTTTCATAAAATTAACAGCACTACTCATCAGACATCTGCACCAGGAAGTATAGTGAAATGATAACTGTTAGGAAGAAGTGCTATGGATTAGTTTGAACTACGGAGTATGGAAGCTTTGCACAAGAAGGTAATATAATGCACAGCTTAGCAACTAGATTAGCACAAAAATAGCCGAGAGTAAGAACTTGTATTATGACTATTATTAAATATTAACTATAGATACAGCAAGTTAGTAACATACACTTTTGCTAGAAGTGGTAGAAGGCGTCGCTGGTGACTGGGATAATCAAGCAACAACGTTTCAGGGCCATCTGGTGTAAATGAAAAGGCTCTCCTTGACAAACTGTATCTCACAGCAATCGCTAGGCTGACCTGTATGCATGGAAAGTAAAAAGCATGTCATTATTTCTAATATGATTGTATCCATGCTTCAACACTGAACACAAGGCACGTTCCTCAGTAAAGGGTCAAACTTGCCCAAGTTAGTTCTTTAACAGATCAACTTATCTTTGCTGGCAGAAAGTTGAATCAATTCCTTCAAATAAACAATCAAGTCGCAGATAATTTCATTGCTTGTTCAAATGTGCTAGTGTTAGAGATAGAGTTGTATACATCTTGTATTGTACTCTTCTTGTAACACAAGCCAGCTCCACTATACTCATCAAAAACTTGGCCGGCGGGGACCTGGGAGGTGCCACCGGGATTCTCTAGCCTAGCCATCTGGACTAGAGCCCTTTGGCCTCCACTATACTCATCACCAACCGTAAGGGGGTGTGGTGTCTTTCCTATTCTCTACAGCTAGGTTTTGGGAGAAACAATTCAACTTGTTATCTTTCCCTTGCCAAAATGAGTGATGTTCCACTTCAGTCAAGCTGGTCAGTTACCTTTTACTGGGACAAATTTGATTAACTGGTTAAATTCAAAAAGCAAATTACTGTGAGGTTGGGGGACTATATTTGTTAAATTCATCAGCAAAAATTTTATTCTGTGTTTACAAGAGAAGAAAATGCCTTGCAACACACCTTTGAAATGTAGACTGAGTCAACTGCAATGTTTACTCGACCAAGTGTAAGCGGAGAGAGGAAAGCTGCAAACCTCTGCAAATCAACATTGC